ATATCGTTAAGAATGAGGTGGTACACCAGGTGAACCAATTTTTCGAGACAGGGATTTTTGATAAAAGGTTAAATTTGACAAATATTTGTCTTATTCCAAAAACAGAGAGGCCAACTCGGATGACAGAACTACGACCCATAAGTCTATGTAATATCGGATATAAAATTATATCCAAGGTATTATGCCAACGATTGCAGAAACTATTACCAAGGCTAATCTCGGAGACACAATCGGCTTTCATATCTGGAAGGCTAATTTCGGATAATATTCTTATAGCACAGGAAATGTTCCATGGGCTCAGGACAAATAACTCTTGCAAAAAACACTTCATGGCTGTCAAAACAGACATGAGTAAGGCCTACGATCGGGTGGAATGGTCTTTCATTAGACGGCTGCTAATGAAGTTGGGTTTCGCAGAGAAATGGATTAAGTGGGTTATGTGGTGCATAGAATCAGTCCAATACAGAGTACTCATAAATGGGCACCCAAGAGGCAATGTACAACCGAAAAGAGGACTTAGACAAGGCGATCCGATGTCTCCTTACCTCTTTATTCTCTGTACAAAGGTGTTAATTGCCAAGGTGAAAAAAGCGGAACATGACAAATTAATTACTGGAATCAGGATAGCTCGGGCGAGCCCGCCGGTCTCACATCTGCTTTTTGCCGATGATATTCTATTTTTCTGCAGGGCAACACAATCGGAGGTGTTGGTACTATTGGATATCTTAAAACAGTATGGAATAGCCTCAGGTCAACAAATAAATTTCTCAAAATCCTCAATCCAGTTTGGACATAAGGTTCCACAGACAACACGAGAACTTTTACACAGCTCAGTGGGGATTGCCAATATAGGGGGAATGAACTCATACTTGGGGATTTCCGAAAGTTTGGGAGGGGCTAAAACAAAGGTTTTTAATTTTATCCTAGAGAGTCAACAGAGAAGAGTTAATAGCTGGACATCGAAGATGTTATCTAGAGGTGGGAAAGAGGTTCTCATTAAATCAGTGGTCTCAGCAGTCTCGACATATACCATGTCCTGCTTCAGATTATCAAAGACTATAATGAAAAAATTAACGAGCACGGCAGCTAATTTCTAGTGGAGCAAAAATGGCCAAAATCAAGGAATGCATTGGATTGCTTGGCAGAAACTATGTAAGTCAAAAACGAAAGGTGGACTCGGCTTTCGAGCGGTAGAGGATTTTAACACAGCTCTACTGGCCAAACAGCTATGGCGACTCATTGAATACCCAGATTCTTTATTTGCTCGGGTATTCAAAGGACGATACTTTAGGAATGGAACACCTTTGGACCAAATTCGCTCGAACATTCCGTCGTATGGCTGGAAAAGTATTACATCTGCTAGATCTCTGGTACAAAAAGGACTCATCAAAAGAGTTGGATCGGGACATTCTATCTCGGTATGGAATGATCTATGGATTCCAACCTCACGCCCGAGATCAGCACACAGCAAAGGACTCATTTATTACCCTGACCTAACAGTCAACCAACTAATTGACCTTATCACTTCAACGTGGAATATCCCATTACTTGGACAATTGATAGCACTGGAAGACATTCCTCTGATTACTGGACTGGCGACTTCACGGGAACATCGTCAGGATACTTGGGGCTGGAATTTCACTAAAACGGGAAGATACACTGTCAAATCAGGATATTTAACTGAACAAATTTACCCGGATAAGGCAACCGATATGTCCTTTGGGTCAGACATTAGTCAATTACAGGCAAATATTTGGATCATAAAATGTCCTCCAAAGCATAAACATTTTATATGGCAAGCACTTTCTGGTTGTTTGGTGGTAACGGCACGCTTGCGAGAAAGGGGAATTAATTGCGACTCTCAGTGCAGTAGATGTGGTGCGGATAGGGAAACTATCAATCACACCTTATTCGAGTATCCCCCGGCAGTCCAGGTTTGGGCACTATTACCAATACCTACGCCAATAGATCGCTTTCCAATGGGAGCTCTGTACACGAATATGGCATACCTATTTTGGAATCTCCCAAAACATGAGGACATGAAAGTCTACTCTTGGATACTATGGTGCATTTGGAAAATGAGAAACGAAAAAATATTCAAAAATATTGACCGAGACCCTCGTGACATGCTTAAGATTGCAATGGCAGAGGCAAATGCCTGGGAGGAGGCCCAGACAGAGGAAATAACGGCACCCATTTCACCAGGTCGGCAACAGGAAAGCCAGAATAGGGAAGGGATAGTCTGCTATACCGATGGCTCGTGGAAGGAAAATGTTTCAACTACAGGTTTAGGCTGGTATAGTGAAGATACATGTACCAATCAGATTTTAATGGGCGCTCGGAAACTAGGGAAAAGTCTATCTCCTCTGCACACAGAGCTCGAGGCAATGATATGGGCAATGCACTGCATACTTGATGTGGGGAGATTAGCAGTAACCTTCTTTACCGATAGCTCAGACCTATTGAAGATGGTGTCCAACCCAGAAGGATGGCCAGCATTTTCTCTTCATCTAGAGGAATTGGAAGCAACTAGAAAGGAATTCGATCTCTTCTCAATATCAAAGATCCTACACGTGCAGAATAAAAAGGCGGATAAGCTAGCACGGAGTACTCGAGACCACCTCTACCATCTTTATTATGTTCAGTCAAGTCTCCCAGAATGACTTCTACCATTTTAGGAGATTACGAGGCTGTTGAAAAAAAAATTACTTTAAATTTGGACTAAATAAGTTTTAGTGTCCAATTTTGTTTGGGAAATCGACCAATTTCGATCTCAACATTTGGTCGCAGTCACATTCTGTGCATATACTTTGGATCTGTACAAAATCATATCCAAACTTTAGATAGATTTAAATTACATATCCGAACAATTATGAAAATGGCCAATTTATATTTTGATTACAAATCTATAAGTCAATCCGATGATATATCCGTTATGGATGTTGATGTGGCTATTTAGTCACATAATCGAAAAGCTAAATTGTTAGTTACACTAATATAACAACATTTTGGATAACTAAATCACAAAAATGATGTTGTTTTAATATTTGTTAAAAAAAAATATAAGTTCTTCTTCTTCAACAATAGTCTTCGCTTGTGTCTAATTTCAACAAATAAAATTAACTCAATCAATTGTGCATAAATAAAATCAGATGATGCAGAAATTTTACCTGCTAGATTAATCAAATTAATTAAAATCAAAACCAAAATAAATAGGGCAAAAATCAACAAACCAAATCATAAAATAAATTCCAACATCAATGATCGATAATCTGCTGAAGCAAGAGCTGCAGCAATTGATGCGATTCAGACTGATGCGGAGACTATCGGATTATGGAAACATATGAAAGTTGAGGCTTACCTGATACTGAGAAAGAGCTGGTATTAGCTATATATCTCTACTACGAAGATTCTCTCTCATCGTCTATTGAGCGATCTATCTCGTTTCATTTAGGAAACAAGCTCTGCTCCTCGACGTTTTTCTTCACACTTTTATACGATATATTCTTAAAATTCTTCACCACTAACCCATTTATGTGCAATGCCACCGTTGTAGATCTGCGTGCTGCTCATGTTCGGGATCCTGCCTGCATCTCCTTCTTGCACTGCCTTCTCAATTATAAAGCTTCTTAGCAATTCAAGTGAATCTGCATTCTTTGATTTGTTTTAGTTAACTTGATTTGTTGAAACTTAAAATTATTTACAATTAGAGATTGTATCACTGAGAATCGAATAAAAAGAACTTATGTTTTATTTTGGCAAATTAAAAATGACGTTGTTTTGTTTTTTGTGATTTAATAATCCAAAATGATATTATTTAAATGTAATCAGCAAGTCGGGTTTTCATTGAAATGACTGGATTACCACGTCAGTCTTTATATTGGATAGGTCATCGGATTGAATAATAAATATGTAGTTAAAGTATAAATTAACCATTTTTAATTGTTTTCATATGTAATTTAAATTTATTGAGAGATAAAATATGATTTTGCGTAAGTTTAAAGTATAAGCACAAACAGAGATGGTCCTAAGATTATGAGGGCTTGAAACAAAATAAAAAATGGGGATCAATTTTTTTTATTATTAAAATTTAATAAAATAATCTTAAATATAAAAAAATACAAAACTCTTAGTAAAAATACAAGTTTTTTTTAAATAAACAATAAAATTGTTTCTTTTATTATGTAAAAATTAATCTTCGATTTCAACTATAAATTAAAAATCAACTTTAATGATCACTAAAAATATTGTTTAATTAACCTTAATGGTCACTAAAAATATTGTTTGTTTAAAAAGAATATTGACTTAAGAAAGGAAAATTAATTACGAATGAGAATATCTTAAATTTAAATCCCATTAATTCTATTTTTTTGTCTTAATTAAATATAATTTCATCATTTTTTCATTTATTTTATATATATTTTCAAAAAAAAATAATAAAAATCTTTTTTAAAAAATTGGGAGCCTAAAGAGGACTTTGCCCAAAATCGGTTGAGGTAGGAAGTGTCGAACTGTTACACTTGGATAAAGGAGTTTTGGGTACGATTTTAATACAGCAAACAAACAAGTATTTCTTCAGTTTTATAAAAAATGTTATTTTAATATTTTTTATACAAATTAGAAAGTAAATTAAAGTTTTTTTATATTTTTTATTCACACACAAAATAATTTTTTTCTTTAATTAATATATTAAAATACAAAGGGCTAAAACTAAATATTTATTTAAATTTATGCATTAAAATGTAAAATAATATTTTTTGTAAAACAAATATAAAATTTAAAATAATACTATTTGTAAAACGGAGCGAATATGGGATACGTGTAACGCGCATCATTTATTAATTTTTGGAAAGAAGAAAGATTTACTGGTTATAAAGACGTGGCACTTATTGCCCCCAACAAAAATTTAAAGGTACAGTATTAACCAAAGTCCTTCTCTCTATTCATCGACAAACACGTTCTTCCTTTCTCATCGATCTAGGGTTTTCTCACCGGCAACGATGATCCAGCTTCTTTACTCAGTGATCTTCGCCGAAATGGCGCTAATCCTCCTTCTCCTCTTCAAGACGCCTCTCCGAAAGCTCATCATCCTCACCTTCGATCGTATCAAGCGTGGCCGTGGCCCCGTCGTCGTCAAAACCGTCGGCGCCACCGTATTCGTTGTTCTAATGTCGAGCGTCTACAGTTTGCTCAGTATCCAGCGACGATCCGAGGATGGTGCCGTTCTCAATCCCACCGATCAAGTCCTTGCTTCGAAGCATCTTCTTGAAGCTTCTCTAATGGGTAATAAAATGCTTTCGCTCTCTTGAATCAGTAATAATCGTTTTGTGGGATTTGATAGAAAACGGAAAACTCTATTAGATGATGGATTATTGGTTCTAAGCTATTTCTGTGCGATAAATTAAAAATTGGAAGTGCTTTTCTTGTGCTTTATTGATTAATTAGGGTTTATATGTAGATGTAGGAGGATCTGTTTGGAAATTAAGGAATGTTATTAAAGAAAATTCTTGACTTTATTTCTCTCTCATTGTATAAGAAATTCGTGATCTTTTAGCATTCACATATGTGTTGATAATATTTTTAAAGGATTAGATCTTGATCATTACCATTCTATTACGAAGCTGATTTGCTTTGGCTTTTTTTGGTTTTGATTGAGATTATTGAACGCCTTCTGTTTCATGATTGAAAAATATTGAGATCTCTCGGATAGAGTATTTAAACAGAAAATGGTCGCTGAATCAAAAGTTCAAAATGGTTTTGATTCGTGTTATTGATAAATCAGCAGATTTAGGATTATCTATTTGGGAATTAAGTAGTTACTGTAAGGTAAATATTGATCGCATTCACATATGAGTTGTTGATATCAGATTTCAAAAGGAATGGGTTTGATCATATGACCATTCTAATATGAATCTGATTTGCTTTGAGATTGTGGGCTTTATCTTTCAGGATTTGTGCTATTTCTCTCGCTCATGATTGATCAATTACATCATTACATTACAGAACTCCTGTTACTGTGGAAGAAAAAGAACTTTTTTGATTTCGTTGTGTTTTTTTTCCTTGATAAACTAGTGTTTATACATAGATGTAGGAGGAACTGTTTGGGGAATAAGGAGTGTAATTAGGGGAAATGATGATCTTTATGAGTTGGTATCAGATTTCTAAAGGATAAATCTGATTTGATTTGGTTTTAATTGAGGTTACTGAACGTTTTATATTTCAGGATTTGTGCTATTTCTCTCGCTCATGATTGATCGACTTCACCATTACATCAGAGAGCTTCGTTTACTGAGGAAGACGATGGAGACTGCGAGGAAACAGAACAGAGGATTTGAGGATGGGAAAAACACAAGTGGAGACGAAGTTAAAGCGCTAGGGGAAGAAATCGCGGGTCTTAAGGCGAAGATCAAGAAACTAGAATCGGAAAGTGAAAGCAAAGGCAAAGAACTAAAAGGTGCACAAGCTGAAACTGAGGCTCTGAGAAAACAAGCGGATGGATTTCTTCTTGAGTATGATAGGCTGCTTGAGGATAATCAGAATCTGAGGAATCAGTTGGAATCTATTGACCAAAGTCCAGAGGGGAAAAAGAGTATGTGAAAATAGAGGAAACAAGAAAAAAACAATGGTAAAAACAATGTAATATTCTGTTTTGTAGAGCGTAAAAGATCTTTAGGAATTGTGGATTTTCTGATTTTTGCTTCATGTATTATGCTATATCTTGTTATCTTCGAAAATACTAATGTGTTTTATTTAATAACTAGATCATCAAAGATTGCAAAAAAAAGGTTTCGAGTTATTCGGGTTTTGATTTCAATTATTTGGTTCGAGTTATTGGGCTTTTATTTTTTTTGATGAAAGTAAAACATGTTTTGAACTAGTACTTTTTGAACTTGCTACGATTTATATGAATCTCTGAATATAAGAATTTTAGTTTTTTTTCTTTCCAAATTTATAATTTTATAAACAATGAAATCATATATTTATAAAAAAATATTATTTCATAAAAAAATAAAATAAATTATTTTATAGTAAAATAATATAATAAAGTTAACTTGACAATAAAGTAAATTTAACAATGAAGAAAATTTAACAATAAAAAATAAATAACCTTAACTTATTATTCTAAAATATTTCTTTTTAATTATCTATTAATAAAAATATATTATATATTTTTTCATTAAAAATTTTATCATGGAAAAATTTGTTTGGGATAAAAATTATGACGAGGAAAAATGAATCAGTAATGTTCCTCTTCGAAATGATGAATCTGATCATAAATCTCGAAGATATTTTATGAGTATTTATCAGTGTGAAATTGTGTTATGGCTCGTCAAAAAACCATGATAAAAAGAAAAAAATTACAACAGTAGTAAACTCCCTCCTCAAAAAAAATGGATCTCATTCTTTCTTCACAAATTTCGTAGATGCCGAATTCCAATACGATGAACGTATTTCTTGAATGTTGTAGTAGGTGAAGTGATCAGCAGTGTTGTCACTTGAACGAACATACTGAATATTCACTACTTTATTCTTCTCAAGCTTTTGAGTATACGAGAAGAACTTTGGAAGGATATATTTCGTTCGATCGCTCTTGATATAACCTTCTTTAATTTGAGCGACACAAGCAGCATTATCTTCAAACACCTTTGTTGGTTCTTTGTCTGTGATTATTTCACTTGCATTTTGTATGTGATGAGCTATTGATATGAGCCATACAAATTCTTTACATGCTTTATGAAGCGCAATAATCTTCGCATAATTTGTAGAACTGGCGACCAAGGTTTACTTTTTGTGATCGTGTAGAGATCGCAGTTCCACGAAATGTGAAAACATATCCAGTTTGCGATCGAGCTTTATGCAGATCAGATAGATATCTTGCATCTGCAAAACCAACTACACCAACCTCAGGGTTTCTAAAATAATATAATCCAAAATCAGTCGAACCTTCAAGATAATGAAATGTATGCTTTATTCCATTCCAATGTCGGCGCGTCGGTGATGAACTATACATTGCAAGTAAGTTAGTAGCAAAAGCTATATCTGGTTTTGTATAATTTGCAAGTGATGTTAAGGTTTTTGAATCCTTTGATCAATCCTCAAACACACATGTCATTGTAGTACTTAAGGTGTCAATCCACTTAGGAAGCTAATGACACTTGAGATGCAGAGAACTTTGCTAAGCTAAGCTAATAGAGAAGGGGTTTTGATTATCTAAAGCAAAAGGAAGCAAGCAAAGAGAAATAATGGCAAAGAGAAACAGAGCAAAAACAGAGTAAAAGCTAAACTTCAAAGATTAAAAGATGGTTCAAGATCAAGGCAATGATTTATATGAATCTCTGAATATAAGAATTTTAGTGTTTAGGGTGATCAAAACAAACAATTCTAAACACTCAACCTGAGGTAAGGAACACTAATAAAGACTAATCCAATCTCTTGGCATTAATTCATTTGCTAAATCACATTTTAAACCCACTTTTGGTGGTGTATCTTTGACAAGCAAGCATTGAAATCAAGTTCCATAAAACTAATTAGCATGCTAAACATCTAATCTCTTAGGCTAGGTTTACTAATCTCTTATATAATAGATCAAACATCAACTCACATTCTCATGCATAATCAACATTTAAAGATAATTTCCTACCAATGTGGTACAAAGCAATAAGCACATTCAAGCAAGAAATGATAGATGCAAAGACTCATGATTATCTAAACACCATTTCAAGCACTGAACTTCATTCAAGAATTTCATCAAACACTTAGTGTGCAAGTGAAAACCTAAGATCAATTTCTCCAACAAAGAGGTACTAAGCACTAAGCACAATCATATAAGAAAGGGAATGAGAAGATCTAAGCCCTAATCACCTTAAACAATCACTAAAATCACCCCATCTGCCCTAATCTTAAACCTAAAGTAAACTACTCACTAATCATAGTGAAAACCATCAAATCTATAAAGAAAAGATAGTTAATCATGATTAGGAAGATAAAAGATTAAGGGAAATGCAAACTATTATTGAAATAAACCAATATTCAAATACAAAATTATTCAAAAGAGAAGAACAAAGGAAGAACTGCTGGTAAAAGGTTGTTCCAAAAAATTAGGGATTTTAAGTATTTATATGAGTCTAAGCAAAAATGGCAAAATTATAAATAAGTTATCTTTGGTCTGGGTCAGCATCGGCCACAAGTGACCGATGGGAATGACCGATGCTCCACTCGCTTGGATCCCATCGGTCAGTTGACGACTGACGGGAATGACCGATGCAGATGTTCAAATACTCGCTTGGATCCCATCGGTCAGTCTTGACCGATGCAGATGTCCTGTCTCTTCCCATCGGTCACAAGTGACCGATGCAGATGACCGATGGGATTCACCCGCTTCTCTGTTGCTTTGCATCAGTCACTTGTGCCATGACCAATGGAACACCAGAAATCGCCTCCCTTAGCTCCTTTTGCTCCTTCTCAGCTTGGCTAACTCCTTGAACCATTCCCACACTTCCTTCTTGCTCCCAATAGCTTCTTAAGTACCTAAAAATGGGACTACAACCTAAGTGCAACCTAAATCTAAAAGGAAAGAAAAATTGGACTAAAGAGAAGGAAAACATGCAAAAGGAGACCAAAACATAAACTAAATGCAAGCTTATATAATGCAAATGTATGAGATATCAGCAAGATACTTAAAGGCACCGATAGTGGTCAAATAGGGCAATTCATGACCTAATATTTCTTTGTTACCTTCATAAAGTCGAAATGGATCATTGTCGACAATAAGTGGTCTATTGACCATTAGAGTATTCAAATGAGTCGCTTTATCCATACTAAAGCGTTCTAACATCCTTCTGATGTAATTTGATTTATGACAAATATTCCATCTTGGAGATGCTCTATTTGGAGCCCTAGACAAAATTTTGTTTTTCCAAGATCTTTCACTTCGAACTCATCTTTCATATGAGCTCTTGCATCATCACTCTCCTTTTGAGTTTCAATCATGTTTAGGTCATCAATATATACAGCAATGATCACAAATCATGTTGACGTAAACACACAAGGACATATCAAATTGTTGGTGTAACCTTTACTCAACAAATACTCACTTAAGCGATTATACCTCATGCATACGTATTGTTTTAATCCATAAAGTGATCACGGTAGTTTGACCGAACATAGCTCTTTAGATGCTTTAGGCATCTTTGATCCTTCAGGGATCTTAAATCCTATTTTCATGTATATGTCACTATCAAGTGAACCACATAGATATGCAGTCACAACATCCATGATGTACATCTCTAAATTCTCAGAGGCCGTGAGGCTCATTAAGTACCTGAATATGATTACATCCATGACAAGGGAATATGTTTCTACATAACTTATTCCCGATCTTTGAGAAAATCATTGTGCCACAAGGCGAGCTTTACACCTTGTGACCTCATTTTTCTCATTTCTCTTTCTTACAAAGACCAATTTGTATCCAACCGGGATTACATATTCAGGTGTAATAATTATCGGTCTGAATACGTTCTGTTTATTAAGCAAGAATATTTCATCTCTTGTGGCCACTTGCCATTTATCCCAGTCATGCCTTCTTTAGCATTCAGACACGAAACTTGGATCTTGATCATCATTTTCATGATTGGTCTCCTTGGAAACAAAGAAATAGAACATTCCAACATTATCTTCTATTTCACTTCTAGCCCATAATTTTCCACTTTGGACAAAAGAGATGGAAATCTCATATTTTTCTGCTCCATATTCATCTTTAGGACAAATTTCTTTATCAGTTTCTTCAGGATATGGTTCAGATATGTTTTCCGTAGATATATCTTCATTTAGTTCTTCAGAAACCTTTTCACAAATGTCTTCAGGATATTTGACTTTATTTGGTTCTTCCAGAACATTTGCTTCTAATTTTTTTCTTGCTCGGGGATTTCTATCTTTTGATCCTATAGGCCTCCCGCGCTTCATCTGAACCCTCGGTTCATTTGCTCTACTTATAGAAATATGTTCTTCAGGAACATTTACCCTTGATGGAGCATTAGCTGCAGGGATATGGGACTTCGTCATCCTTCTTGTATCAGTGAGCGCATCGGGTAACTGGTTTGCCAAACTTTGCATATGTATAATTTTCTGAATTTTCACCTCGCGTTTGTTTGTAAGAGGATCAAGATAAGCCAAAGAGTGTGTACACCAGGTGATATATTTTGGTGATTTTCTCAATCCTCCCCCTAACGCAGGGAATTCATTTTCATCAAAGTGGCAATTAGCAAATCGTGCCGTGAACATATCACAAGTTGCCGGTTCAAGATACCTAATTATACTTGGTGACGAATACCTGATATATATTCCCAATCTTCTTTCTGGTCCCATTTTTCTTCTTTGTGATGTTATATGGACATAGACTGCATACCCAAACACACAAAGATGGGATACATCTGCCTTCTGGTAAATGCTAATTGTATGAGGGAATATTCGTTATACTCATTTAGTCGTACCTGGACCAATGCTCTAATATGCAATATAAGATGTCCCCACACAGTGATTGGAAGCTTTTTTCTCAAGATTAACGGTCTTGCAAACAATTGGAACCGCTTAATCAATGA